AGCGAGTGTCCCATTTCTTCTCTCTCCATGCCCACTACCCCGTCCGTCCTTTCTTCCTTCCGTACTCTTCGCGCAACCCGCACTGATCCAACCCCCTCTCTCTCTACTAGCGACCCGCCCGATCCACCATTTTCTCCCTCATTATCGACGAAGAGCATGTTCCCCTCTCTGTCTCTTGCCGTCTCTTTCTCCCTTGCTCTTCGTGCACGTTGGGATGAATGACTTCGCGATCCTTTTTTTCTGTGACTCTTTTTTTGCTCTTCTGTCGTTCGTTCGTTCGTTCGTTCTTTTTCTAGCCTTTTTTCGGATTCATCCGCTCGCACTGACGGATCTTTCGAATCGGGGTTGCGTGGGCGGGGATTGAGGGGGATGGCAGATACGCGGCTGGGTTGAGTGTATTGCGGGCGCCTTTTCAATGAGTGACTGCCGCGGTTCATACGCGACGCTGTGCAGTTACGATATCTCTCTTCGCGGGCTTGCCGCTCACTGCTGTTCGCCTAATGAGAACGTCTCGCGTACGACAATTGTATCGATTAAAGGATGGATTGGCGGGAAAAGGGCGAGTGTCGGAGATTCGTGAATGATGCAAGGTCGTGGCACGTTTTGGAGAAATTTTGGGTTAAAAGGGTGCCTTGGAAGGGATGGCTTTTTTTGATATTTGGATGTTGGAAGGGAATGAAGGGATAATTGTTATTTAACCCATTTCTGTCGTATTTAAACGGGATGAAGGAATTAGCTATGATATTGAAATTGCTAATGTTAACCCTTTGCACTCGGAAACTTTTCACTAGAAATATTTTAACATTCTTTGACGTGATAAAATCGATATTTCGTGAAACAAAGTCGACGAGAAATCACGCGTACATCAAGGAACAAAGCTATTTTATTTGAATATTTCTCAACATGATGCATTATAGGAAATATAATATTAAATATCAAATTTTATAGTTTTACTGTATGAAATCAAGCGTTGATTGTGAGTCACCTCTCGAGTGCAAAGGGTTAAATATCTACATTTTTCTATAAGATGCATACAAGTCACACTTGTGAATTAAAGAGTAAATTGTATTTATACACTTGAATTTGTGTAAGATAAAAGGGTATTGTTGAACTTGTGGATTGAAGAAGCATGATAGATTTGTCATAACCATAAGAGGTGAGTATTGGTTGTCGTATATGCGAATGGGTTAAGGGATTCTAAATGAATTGTTGTGAATGATAGATTTCATTGAGTCATTTATTTATTAGTATAATTCATTGTACATAATAAGAAGTAGAAAAATTTGATAGAATTAGGCGTATTAGGAAACTTCTAGTGTTTTAAACATAATTTTTTGCAAAGATTTTTTATTGATACAAGGAAGTTATATTTTCAAACTTTGTAAGCATTACTGAATACTCGCATTTGGTGTTTGATGTTTGAATGAGTTCAGACTTGAACTTGATTAAAATTAATCAAGGAAATGTGAAAATAGAAATGTTAAAACGGAATCTACAGTAAAAATGGTTCTCTGAAAGAAGATGTAGGTTGTCAAATAAATTAATTGATAGCTATGCAGATAGTATTGAACATACGATTTTATAGGAAATGTGGCGACAGATAAATCAATTGAACGATATTTCTAGGTGGCAAAATGAGCATAGCTCTACGGAATCGTTTAATATTAAATCTTTTTTCTCTCATTGTTCTAGAGTAGTATGGATACTGTTCTCATTTCTCTACCAAATAATCTACTCTACCAAATATAGATAACTATATTAGCAAGAACTGTGAGTTGAAATTATTTCAAATCCATGCTACGCCTTACGTTTTCGCCACAATGTATAAACGATTACCGACACAGATTCCCATTACGGTTTCTTAGAAAATTAATAAAATTACATGTTATAACCGAAAGAACGATGACTGCTTAGCGAATTACACTTGTGATCGAATAGCCTGCGCCGTAACAATAATTATGTAATTATCTTTGATTGTTCCATCGTGCGAAAAGCGACAGTGAATAGAATAGTGTGCGACAGTGTGCAATACACCGAAGAGAAAGAACGAGGAAAACATATGACACGAAGCATCGTTCATTTTTTTTTATCTCGCACACAATAGAGTAATTTAATATAATTATGGTCATCTTGGTAGCCAAGGTACGAGCACTTACGTGAACCACTGTATATTCATGGCCGTTGTTAGACTCGGTCTTGTCCCAACTTTCTCCGCTTCATTAAAAAAAGAGAAACGAAGGTATTTCTATTGATTTTGACATATTTCTGCGATCTTAGAGGATCTTAGAGATCTTACAGGATAACAGTCCAATTAGTGAAACTGTTAATCGATATGTGTGGTACATCGGTTTTTCATAGTGTAGCAATAAAAGGTGTTTTAACCAGACTCTTCTAGAAATCATTATTACACGTATGTTTCTGCAAACTAATTAATACTACCAGAAATGAAATGATCATCTGATTAAATTATAAAATGTTTCATGTAGTCGAAAAATATGGAAGAAGTG